GACTCATTCATTACCAAGACATTTCGTTCGTGAACAATTCTCAACAGGACATTTGTGGACATCAAAATTTCAATATTAATTAATGTCTTTCTTTATTTATGGACATAAATATAAGATAAATAAGATATTTAATTAGTAAAGTAAATATTTATTGTCTACCAAGTCAAATCTTAGAATAAGGAAAGAGATTATATCAAATCATGAAGGACCAATCAAATTGATGTATTCTTCTCTTTCCTACACCTATAAGAAGGGTTCTCCTCAAAGCCACAAATAACACCTCATAAATCAAAGTCTCAAGTTTAAGAGCTCTCGAATTCTTGTGAAGATCCAAAAGTGTTCTTGAAGATCCAAGAAGTTGAAGATCCACGTTCAAATTCTTTTGAAGACCCAAAGGTATTCTTGAAGATCCAAAAAGTTGAAGATCGAAATTCAGTTCTCTTGAAGATCCAAGGTGTTCTTGAAGATCCAAGAAGTTGAATATCGACATTCAAGTCCAAGTCCCTCAGGTCGACTAGACCCGTGAAACAATAAGACCGAACCGGACGGATCACCAGACCGATCAAGACTTGAAGACTTCTCAGGTGGAAGGACATCCAGGTTGAAAGGGACGTTGTAGATTCTAGGAGCACCGACAGGTCGAACTAGGACCCTCGGACGACCTGATTGAAATTTGACCTGAAGGTACATATGGCCAAAGGATCGACCAGATGAACAGAATGTGGGAGCTTGATGTTGATAGTACTCTACCTCGAGGTAATCAAGGTCAATCGCACGATTAGACCATCTAATAAAGAAGACTAAGTGATAAGAAGGAATATTATTGGAATATTGCCCCCACGTGGATATGACCACGTGGCCTAACATAATTGAGCAGTTCTGGCAGGTCGGGCAATACGAACGGGTAGTCAAGAAGCTCATTCGGGCAGTCTTAGGCAACAAGGCATCAACTCTCTATATAAGGGTGAGTTATGCCATGTATGACATTACAATCTCTGCACACATTTTCTATACAACACTTCATCTTCTACAAGTGCTAACTTAAGCATCTGTGGCTCTTCACAGAAAAACCCTTACAGTGTGAGAGTTTTTGCAGGTCTAAAGGTGTTCAACCGGCGAGGAGCTCGAGATCAGGATGAATCCTGCCGGTTGGAGGTCTTTTATGTACCACTCTCCAAGAAGTATAAAAAAGAAAGCCCGTCAAGAAGTCGTATTCAATCAAATCAAGTCCTAACGTTTAATACAAGAATAAATCTATTTAAAGATCAAGCCAAACAAGATCCAATTGTCAAATCTATTTAAAGATCAATCGAAGTCCAGGAAGAGAAGAATCAAATGAGACATATACAGATTGCCCGCAATATCATTTGATCGGAATAAAATCAAGGTATACAGAAATTTTATGTTTTTCATAAAATTTATTGTTACATTTTTATTATTATACTTAATTAATATAATGTATAATAATTTGTTATTATAATTAACTAAGAAAATAATTTTTTTACTCTCTTGCAAATAATTGAATAGAACAACTGTTTATATACACTAGTACTCTTTTACCTGTTCACATGCACGGACGAAGTCAACTTAATTATATTAAGCATAACATAAGTTTAAATTCAATAATATAAATAAAAATTAAAATAAAGTATTGTTTATTATGAAAATTGAGTGTACACAACATTATATATATGTTAACCGAACTTCTATATATAAAACTATCTATATCTTTTTGATTGGTTATTTTCAAAATTATTAGTAATAGTTATGATCAAAATTCAGTTACCGGTAAATTACATATTAAACTAATATATTATGGTGACACACAGCATAATAAAATAATTTAGAACAAAATTGTAAACTTAAATTTAAAGAAAAAATCAGTTTGTACATATCAATACTATTATATGTAACATCTTGATCTGGATTTTTTTTATAGTTAATATTTCAAGATTTTATTTTTTTCCCTAAAGTAATAAAGATTCATTCAACCAAAGGGATAAGTGGTATTATATTTATTTTCTTTTAATATTTAAAAGCATTTAATAAAAAAATAAGAGTTGTCATTCAATAAAAATGTTGATGGTATATCCGTACTATGTTGCATTATTGGTATGAAAAACCCATTTAACAGATGTTGATATAAAATATACAAATAAGTTATTGAAAAAAAAATCATACATATATGATAAAATAGTTTTTATCTTTCTACGGTCACTATGAGTGCTAAATAAAAGATTATATGAAAATAAATAATTTATTATTTTGTATGTAAAAAGTTGATAAAATGACCAGTAAGTATTGAGTTATATATATAATCAATATATTTACTTATTTAGTAATACAAAAGATAAAAAAAAAAAAAGTATATGCAGTTGATTAGTATACTTTTTTCTGTAATAATATATGGATATAGAACTATAGTTAATTAATTATGGGCCTTTTTTCACATTAACAATATATAGTTTGCCTGAAAATGTGATTATAAATCTAAATATTTGCTAAATTTTTAAAACAAAGCTATTTTTTAATATTTAAATATAGATCATATCAGTAAGAGCCTAAAAGTTTTACACAATCAAAAGCTTTTCATGAAACATAATAATTATTTTATATAATATTGTAAATTATAATGAATTTATGATATGATTTTATTTGACAATATTTTTTTTTTTCTAAAAATACCATTATTAGAAGATTTTGGAACTTCAACCTTTTCATCTATCAAATAAGTAAATACGGAAGATTTGGAGTGATTAATAACAATAATTGAAGTTTTTATTTTTACCATTTTTTATTGTTAACCAAAAAAAATATTAAAATCACTAAATGGTAAAGAGATTTTCAAAATTATATTTTGAACAAACTTTAAAGATTTTTGCAGGAGAGAAAAAATTGTAGATTTTGATAATTAAATTTTATTATTAATGATATATTTATATTTGACAAAAAAATACTAAAAAAACTAATATTTATAGATTATGAAAATTCAACATTTTGACCTAGAAAATGAGGCTGGTTCAAATAAAAACTATGTCTGGTGTGAGAACCGTGAGAATCATATTTGATGCTATTTTTAATTGTGTATGATGCTATTTTTAATATTACATAGTGCTATCATTTTCATAAATGCTAATAAAAATTTTGTTGCTATTTTTAATCAAATACATCCTAGTTAAAAATAGCACTAAAACACAATTAATCATAGCACTACATACAATTAAAAATAGCAGTTCTCACGGTTGTCACACTAGGACTTGGTTCTCATTTGAACCACATCCTATATATATATATATAGGGAGTGGTTCAAATAAAAACTAGTTCTGGTGTGAGAACCGTGAGAACCGTATTTGATGCTATTTTTTATTGTGTATGATGCTATTTTTAATATTACATGGTGCTATCATTTTCACATATGTTAATATAAATTGTGTTGCTATTTTTCAGAAAATAGATCCATTTTAAAAATAGCACTAGAACAAATCAATCATAGCACTACGTACAACTATAAATAGCGGTTCTCACGGTTCTCACGCTAGGACTTAGTTCTCATTTGAACCAAATCCTATATATATATATATATATGTTGATTTATAAATTAATACCACACTTACCTTGTTATGTTANTATATATATATAATGTGTATCATAATTTTCAAACCATCATTCATACATATAGTTCTCGAATGTGCTAAGTCTAAGTGACAAATGCACATGTTTCTATTCTTATGTGGCAAATTTTCATGCTTTCTCATTTGGATTGGATGGATCTTAATTTACTCTCAGTCAAAGAATAATTTGGTTTGGAATAACCATAAATATATTAGATAGTTATGATCATTTTTAATAGCATTAATTATGCTAGACGTGATTTATAAGACATATTTTTTTTCCCCAATCTTTCTTTTTTTCTTATCTTTCTTTAAAAATTATGAAAAAATTATTAACTTAAATTATAAGTAGATTTTAAAACTAATAATATTTTTTATTTATTATACATAATATATAAAATTAATCATGTTTTGATGTGCTTTGATTTCACATTTATATTGTACATACAAAATAACCAAATAATTATATCTTTATAATAAAAAGCAAATTACCTATTAATATTAATTAAAAAATAAAATTATTTAAATCAGTTTAACTACAAATTTGTTAAATGATATAACTTAAAATATATTATAATATAAGGTGGTAAGTCGTATAGTTGATGTGTGTAATTTTAAGTCCAATAGTAATACAGTTATTTGAAAAGGTATTTGAAAATTAAATCAATTTTTTATTTTTATTTTTAATTTGTAATATAAATTTCTTAACAAATACTCGTTTATAATACACGAGTATTGTACTAGTATGAGTATATATTATATATTCATTACTTCAACATTTTCTTGACAACTGGATTATATTTTCCTTGTAAATAAAAATCACAGTTGAATTGTCATTTGATTGCAAAGGAAATCACGTTATGTGTGATATGGTTTTTTTTTTTTCTTTTTCCAGAAAATATGACCTAAATCTATAATCCACACAGGCAAGCACCTAATTAAACTCTATGTAATCTTTACCAGTTAATTTGATAGCAAATAATCCCAATTTCGGCAAATTCGAAAATCGAATCCAGTAAATATAAATGAAAGTCCAAAAGCAAATACAAATAAATATCACATAATCCTTGAAAAGATGGTCGGTCAAGTGTCCTGTGTGATTTCTTCACTATCATTACAATAATAATAATAATAATGAGAATATTATCGAAAATAATTCTCATTCACATAGACTTTGAGTCTTTGACTCGCTGAGTCGCGACTCATCATCCTATGGCACGCGTGTCGGTAAGCCAAAACAAATCAATTAACCAGTAATATATTAAGTTCGAAGGAAGAAAAAACAGTATATTAATTATTAAGTCAAGAAAAAAGAAAGTGCAAAAAAAAAAAAGTCAAGAAAAAAGAAAAAAGGAAAACAAAAAGAAAACATAATGAAAAAAGAAATAAAAAAAATAGAGACAAACAGAGCTGAGGTGAAAAGGAGAGAGAGACAATCATCATCATCGTCGTCACCGCAATGTGCTCAGTCTTTAGGGTTTCTGATGCAAATGCGACCCATTGAATAACCCTAAAGACAAATTTCAAGAATTTTTCCTCTTCTCCTTTCCCCAGATCCCAAGATTTTGGTTTGCAGCAGAAAATTACGGAGAAAAAAAATCTGTCCAAATTCCAGGTCCATTCCAGAATTTTACATGCGGCGGTCAAAGGTTCGTTCAATTTCACTTTCTTTCTACCCACATTATCCTTTTCTGGACTTCTGAAAAAAGAAAGATAAAAAATATGGGTTTTTTTAAAACTGTTGTAGTGATCCTCTGCCTGTGAAGAGAAGGGTGAAAACAATGGGAGAAACTGGAAATTAGTCCAAGAAAAACGATGCTGCACATATTTCTTGTGTTTTTCATCCTTTCTCTTACTGGTTACATTAACTGCGCTACGGACCCAAATGACCTCAAAATTCTCAACGATTTCAAGAACGGTCTGAAAAATCCGGAGCTCCTTAAATGGCCCGAAAATGGAAATGATCCATGTGGGCCCCCCAAATGGGATTACGTGTTCTGCTCTAATGACCGAGTGACTCAGATTCAGGTTCAGGGCCTCGGGCTTGAAGGGACTTTGCCCCAGAACCTGAACCAGCTGGAAATGCTCGAAAACCTCGGCCTGCAAAAGAACAAATTCTACGGAAAAATGCCGACTTTTAACGGATTGTCGAACCTCCAGTACGCATTCCTGGATTTCAACCAGTTTGACACGATCCCATTCGACTTTTTCCGTGGTCTCACGAGCGTTCAGGTCTTGGCCCTGGACGAAAACCCGTTTAATCAGACTTCGGGCTGGGCTTTACCAACTGATCTCGCAGAATGTACTCAGCTGGTCAACTTCTCTTGTTCACAGTGTAACGTAATCGGGCAATTACCCGATTTTCTCGGGAAATTGCCGTCACTCACCTCCTTAGAGCTGTCGTATAACCGTCTGTCTGGCAGCCTCCCCTCGACTTTTCGCGACACAATGCTGCAAATACTTTGGCTGAACAATCAGGACGAAAACGGGCTTTCAGGCCCGATTGACGTGATGGGGTCAATGACCGGGCTCACGACCGTTTGGCTCCAAGGGAATAAGTTCACGGGCCCAATCCCGGGCTCTATCGGGAGCCTGACCTCTTTGAAAGAACTCAACCTCAACGGAAACCATTTAGTCGGGCTCGTCCCTCCGGCCTTGGCTGAGCTCAGCCTCGAGCTCTTGGATCTTAACAACAACATGCTCATGGGCCCGATTCCCAAGTTCAAGGCCCGTAAAGTCACTTACTCGTCAAATTCCTTCTGTCAGGCCAAGCCCGGCGACCCGTGTTCCCCAGAAGTGAGTGCCCTTTTGGAATTCCTTGGTGAACTTGGCTATCCGGTTCAACTTGCTTCACTTTGGTCGGGCAATTATCCTTGTAAGCAGTCGTGGAGAGGCATTTCTTGTAATTCTATGGGCGAGGTTACTGTCGTAAATTTGCAGCATCTCGGGCTTAACGGCACTCTAAGCCCATCTCTTGCCAACTTATCGTCCCTGCGAGAGATTCACTTGGAAGGAAACAATCTCCACGGCACTGTCCCAGAAAAACTGACTCGACTAGCCTTCTTGAGAGTGTTGAACTTAAACGGGAACAATTTCGACAAGCCGTTACCTCAATTCCGCGGCAACGTCACTGTCGTCACCACAGGTAATCCGAAATTCGAATCGAGCGGCCCATCTCCACCCAACAATTCAGATTCACCAAACAATAACAGTAATAACCGTAACAGTAATCCACCGTCAGGTGAGGTTAATCGACGGCAGCCAAATGCACCTTCCTCTGGCATCCCGAGCCTTAACTCGCCAAGCCCGGAAAAATCAAGAATCACGACAATGGCAGCTGCCGCTGCTGGCTCAACCGTCCTATTGGCCCTTGTGGCCGTACTCTTCGTCTACTGCCTCCGCAGAAAAAAGAAACTTGCCAAGAATGCCCCTGCCCGAGTCGCAAGCCATAAAGACTCTTTGAAAGATCCTTACAATAACAATAACAATAACAACAGCATGTTCAAGATCGGGTCCACGGACGTGGGCCGGGCCAGCAGTGCCGGGAGCCGGGCCAGCTACGGGCCGGACAGCATGGAGCCCGGAAGCCCGTCAATCTCGGTCCACGTCCTCCGTAAGGTCACTGACAATTTTGCCCCCGAGAACGAGATTGGCCGCGGAGGGTTCGGAGTCGTGTACAAGGGGGAGTTGGAAGACGGCACACAGCTGGCGGTGAAGAGGATGGTGGTGGGGTCCATGGGAAGCAAGGCCCTCGACGAGTTCCGGTCTGAAATCGAGGTTCTCTCGAACGTTCGCCACCGGAATTTGGTGTCTCTCTTGGGGTTTGCTGTCGAGGGGGACGAGAGGCTACTGGTTTACGAGTACATGCCTCAGGGGGCTCTCAGCAGGCGACTTTTCCGGTGGAAGAGCTTGGGGCTGGAGCCGCTGTCGTGGACGAGCAGGCTTTGGATAGCGCTCGATGTTGCGCGTGGAGTTGAGTATTTACATAGCCTGGCACACCATAGCTTCATACACAGAGACCTGAAATCGGCGAATATTCTTCTGGATGATGAGTTGAGGGCGAAGGTTTCGGATTTTGGGCTGGTGAAGTTGGCGCCGGATAGGGAGATGTCGGTGGCGACTAGGCTGGCGGGGACGTTCGGGTATCTTGCCCCAGAGTATGCTGGTAAGAAGTTTGCACCTTAGTTTTCAGCATTCTTTTATCGTGTCTGTAGGATAGGCAGAATGATGTTTGTGCAACAAATTAAGTTAGTCTGATCCCTAAGTTAGCTAGTTTCTGCAGAACATGTGGATATGAATTGATCACAAGCTTTAGTATGGAAGAAAACTCATTAGAGTAAATTGCAATTGTAGTCTTGTATGTTTCACTAACCCAACTCTTTCGTCCTCTTCGAATTGCGAATTTGATTTTTGTCCCGTATGTTTGCACAAAGATTACAAAGAGGTCCTTTTCATACACAAGGGACGAAATTGGAACTTTTTTTTTTTTTTTTTTGCAAAACATAAAAGACCTTTTTGTTGCGAAAAGGATCTTTTTGTAACATTTTCGCAAACATAGGGGACGAAAATAAAAAACGCATTTCGAAGAGGACGAAAAAGTTAGGGTAGTAAAACATACAAAACTAAAATTACAATTTACTCTGAAAATTATAACAACTTTTACTTTGCATATGAAATTTAATGGGAATTTGGCAATTGCTACCATGGAGATGATTGATTGGGTGATTCTGGTTCAAGAATGTCTAGAGATGCCAACATCTGTTACTAGTTTGTCATTATTAGTCATTCTAAAAGCAACAACAATAGAGAAGAGTACTTAGATACCTGATTCTAATTCTGGTTACACTAATCAGCAAAACACTTGCCTTTAATCTGGCTATTCCTTAAGATTTTTCTTGCAAACACAATTCTCATTTTGGATTAATTTTTTGCATGAGCTAATTCTTCTATTCCTATTATACCCCTCAACAGTGACGGGCAAAATCACAACAAAAGTTGACGTGTTCAGCTTCGGAGTCGTCCTCATGGAACTCCTGACCGGACTAGTCGCCCTCGACGAGACAAGGCCCGAGGAAAAACGATACTTGGCCGAGTGGTTCTGGCAAATAAAATCGAAAAAGGAGTCCCTCATAGCTTCAGTGGACCCTGCCCTGAATGCTGACGAAGACATCCACGAGAGCATACACCTCATCGCCACCCTGGCGGGCCACTGCACGACCCGCGACCCAAACCACCGCCCGGAAATGGGCCACGCGGTTAGTGTGCTGGCCCAATTGGTCGAGAGATGGAGGCCCCACGAGGATATCGATAGAGAGTCTTGCGTGAGCATGGATTTGCCCCTGCCACAGATGCTGAAGGGATGGCAGCAGGAAGAGCAAGGTTTGAGTCGGGATTATAGCTACGCGAGTCAGGATAGCAAAGGGAGCATCCCGAACAAGCCCTCGGGTTTTGCCGACTCGTTCACGTCTGTTGATGCTCGATAATTTTTTTTTTTTTTCTTTTTTTCTTTTTTTTTCTTCTTTTAAAGGCAGGATTGAAGACATGCTTTTCTTTCTGCAGGGAATGAAATGGAATTGTTGTTGTTTTGTTTCTTGTGGATGGTATGATGAACTAATTTTGGTTTCTTGTTGAGGTTGGCTGTGGACATGGTCATGATATATATATATAAATGGACATACTTGAAATGAGGATTATGTGCTCTGATTTTGAGTGATTAACTTGTTGGGTAATGTAATGTATTTTGTGTTCAATTTGTTTTTTATTTTATTTTATGAATGGCACGGGTTAATAAACTAGAGGGAAGTGCACTTGAGGGCGTAGTTCAAAATCAATTGTTAATAGGAGAAGTAGCCCACAAGATTAATAAACTAGACTCATTTAGCATGTAAAATTAACAAGAGACAATCCTCAAGTGATATTAAAATGTTCATATTCTGGTCTTTTTAGTTGATTGGAGCTATAACCAAGTTCATATCCATAATGTGATTTATTTTTTAAACAATGTTCATTAAAATGCAAATGAATTTCGGGGATATTTATTAATTTTTTTTAGAGATTGCCATTATTCAATCAATTATTAAAAAAAGACAGTTTTTTAAATACAAGATCCGAAAGATAGGTTAACTATTAAATCGGGGCTTAAAAGAATTTTGTTTCTCAATTCGAGATCTAAATCTTTAAAAGCTATCATAAAAAACCACTAAAAGTAATCAATTTAACAATTACGAACATGAAATTTAATTTCGTGAAAATGTGTTTTATTGAATGTGTAGGAGTAGAAACTAGAAAATGTTCATTTTTGGTAATCAATTGAGATCCAAATAAAAAACAAAAAAGCAAATTAACCATAAATAATAGTTTTGAATACGTTGGTTACAAAAAGAAGTAATTTGTTTGTTAAGTAAAAACCGTAAGTTATCCATTGCTCTTAAATTAAATGTTGAAAGAACTAGTACACAATAGGCCGCATGCACCAAAAAAACAGAGGAAAAAAGCCTTATTTCCATCAAACCACAGGACTTTTTAATCAATTTCCTCTTATCTTAGGAGCAGCATCAGTAGCAATAATGCCAACATGGCCACCGAAATAATCAAATTACATAGATAAATAGATTGTTGTCCTTGATGAGATAAATTTCTGAAAAAAAATAATAATAATAATAATGGCATGATGGATCCCAACAATAAAGCAATACATGAAGTCTGCATGCATTAGACATTGAGAGAGAACAAAATCTTTAGAATATACATATATAGCAATAATTTTTTTCTGAGCCTTATATATATCCTTGATACATGGGATGAGAGTATACAGATTACAGAAGGTAGCTGTTGCTAGAGATGATGACTGAATCAATTGTCATCATCAAAATCGAAATGGAAACTAAACCCATATTCAGCATCTTCAACACTAGCATTAGCCGACGAAAAGAGACGTTTGGCGTAATCGTCGACAAAGGAATGCAGCAACAGTGAGTCGGCAGTGGGCCTCTGATCTGCATCGCTCGTGAAACAACACTTGACAAAATCCCTCGCATCCTCTGAAATCATCTCGCGCCCAATCCTCCCAAGAATTTCCTCTTTTGCCCCTCCCCACGCATTCTCCCGACCCACCAACATCTCCAGCACCACACAACCGAGCGCCCACACATCAGAAGCCTCCTCTTGCTTCCCCAACAACTCGGCCTCAGGCGACAAATACGCGCGCGTGCCACTCGCATACGGCACCGTCCCCCTCTCTTTCGAAAGCCCGAAATCACTTATTTTGGCCGTGAAGTTGCCGTTCTCGGCCACGAGCAGCACGTTTTCGGGCTTCAAATCGCAGTGCACAAAACCGAGGCCGTGAATGTGACGGAGACCTCTCAGGATGGATTTCGTGTGGGCCCTCACTTCCATTTCGGGCAGCCCGAAGCCTCCCGATTTCTGAATTCTGTCGAGCAGAGAGCCGCCGGATGCATACTCCAATAGCAGATTATTAGAAACCGATAAACGGCCCGCGTAATATTCTTGTGTCGTGTGGTAGCCAAGGCACCGGATCACGTGCGGACAGTCGTAGAGACGCGCCAAAATCTGGAACTCTTTGCGGAGCGTTTGTGTGAGAGATTTCTTTTCGGTTTTGACGGCTATGAAGGATGACCTGAGAGTAGCCTTGTAAACACGGCCGTAAGTACCTTCTCCCAATAGAGGACCCCTAATCCAATCACCGTATTCATTTTCCTTGCCGCCGCACATCAACTGGTTGTGGTTGTTGTTGTTAAGATTGTAGGCACCAGCACAAACCGCCATGATAGATAGATGAATGATCAGCTAGCTCACCCTATATATTTCAATTTCAAGTGTATCAATTAAGTAATAATCAATCTCTTTTTCGAAACACTGATTTATATTTATAGAAAATGTCTGCTTTGCTCTAATATCCTAATCCTAAACGTGGAAGGTTTTCTTTTCTTTTCCTAACCCTCAAGGTTTAGTGAATAACTAAATATTTTTTCCAATTCAATCCGCTTTTTCTCTCTGCCGCCAAAACACAAAATAGAATTAGGTCTTTTTATTTCCCCTTCCATTTAAATCAAGTTTTTTTTTTTTTCGTGNATTTATAAATTTATTATATTGTTAACGTAATTTAACTAAAAATTATAAAATTATTTTTGAATAAATTATATTATTTGCAATTTTAAATTCAATTTGTACATTTAAATTTTTAACGCGAATCCTTATGCTCAAAGTCCCTAAGCCCAACTCAGTGCTAGTCGAGACTTGCTCTACTGACTCTGAACCAGACTTCCCTCTCATATCTGCCCCAAATTTCCGGCACAACCCTATCACTGCCTTCCCAAGCCCCTCTACTCCACCTTCTTGTACCCAATCTTACACCAACTCCTCTGGAAAAAAAACAACGGGTTAGGCGTAGCACGAGGCAGAAGAAAAAACCTAACCGAGAAGGTTTTATCGAGATTCACTGATAAAATGTTGTGGTTTTGTAGGGGAATAAACCCCCCAAACTTCGGCTTGTTTTTTCGAGACTGTTGTGGCTTTGTAGGGGAATAAGCCCCCCCAAACTTCGACTTGTTTTCCAATAAAATATGCTTGTTGGTTAAAAAAATAAAGTCCCTGTTGACGCCGGTTTCTTCGCCGTCACGGCGACGGGATTAGCCTCCGGATTGGTGAGTCGACTCATCGTGTTCGGAAGAAGTCATTTTCAGTGACTTTTGAAGGAAACGAGATGAAAAAAGAAGAAATTGTAAGTGGTGTTCCACAAAGTCGAAATATTGACATCAAATATCTTATGGTGTCCTTCCTCTAGCGCCAAATTGTTGATGGACGGATCCGATCAACGGTTAAAATAAAGTTTTATGATAATGTAAAAGTAAGATAAGGAAGATATGCAATGAAAAGGGAATTTATTACTTAATTACGAAGTCGGCCTCTGATAACGAGATTGTTACTTTTATTACACTTTAGAGTTTTTACGAGAATTTATTACAGAAGTCTAGAGAGTGAAAGTGGCAGATGATGATTTCAACAACCCCAAATAAATGAGATGATGAATCTTCTATTTATAGTGGTCTTAAATTCAGCACTGTTCATACACTGTTCATCCTTAGTCGTATGATATCCCATATCAAGGTCAGCGTCGCTCTGACAAATATTAAATGCGATTTGAGGTTTCTCTAATCGTTACCTGTCAGGCATTTAATGTTCTCCTGTAGGGCATTTAATGCGGACAGGTCCTTCTGCCGAGCTAGGTGCCCTAGGCTGTCAGGGTATGGAGACGCGTCCCATCGGTAATCATTATTAGCTGACAAGTGGCAATATTTTATTAGTTCTGGGTCCCGCAGGTGTCCAGGAGCCGACTTCGGAAGATCCTCAGGTCGGACCTTCTTCACTAATTTGCCCTCTAAGTTCCGGGGTCCCATTTCTCTATTCGACACCCGGTTAGGTCGACCTCACTCCTGTGCAGCAAAGGTACCGACCTAAAAGCTGGTGTCGCTCGTTGTCCCGGTTAATTATGCTTCCTGGTCAGCTCGGCACTTCTCAATCACTCGACCGGTCCAGGTTTCTATGTCATCCTTCCTCGGTTCCCCATCAGTGAACTGAGTTTCACGTAGGCCTAACTCGGATATCAACACTCGGTTATTTCAATTCAATATCGAATTTTTTAGTTAAATAATTGAAATAAATGAACGACCAAATTATATAAATTTTATATTTTTTGTTTATCATTTATTTTTAGCCAAAACAATATAGGAATATTACATACTATATAAAAATATTAAAATATTATTTGTAGTTTGATTAATTATAAATTTGACCAACAAACTACATTTTAAATATTAAAATAATTAAAAATTACAATTAAGACTCTATGATTTATAAAATTTTCAAAAGTGAGCCCACAAAAATCTGCAAAAAGTTTCCACGCACAGACATGCACTGCAATTATGACTCTCGACCTTCTTTTCCAGCCAGCACCATCGCCTTTTGCTCTCAGATCGACGACAATTTCACCATTCTCCTCAATACTGGCGACGAGATCGAGCCGTCTCGATACAACCTCTTCCCGGTCAATAATTGCAGTTCATGTCTCCTGCGTGCCGCCGACGTGGTGGCTCTCGCCGTGAAGGATACCGTCGCCCTTTATTGGCTGGTGGCGGCATTAGCTACGGTGTCGTCTGGATTGTGGACGGCACGGCGCTCGACGGTGGACTGTGGCCGTGAAGTTCATTCCGGTGATCGATTGGACCGCGTCGGCGGTGGACTGTAGTGGTGGCACGACTGGTCTGGTCGTGCTGTGGTGGCGACAGGACAAGGCGGGGCGGTGACTGCGACTGTCTGCAACTTCAGGCAAGTTCGACGGAGATGGGTGTATGCGTCGGTGGTCCGGCGAGCGGAAGATGGCTGCGGCAATCGACGGCGGGCGGTGGTACTCAGCAGCGGGAGGCAGCAGGCGAGCGGTGTTGCAGATGGGGTGGTCGCCTGCGCAAATCCGCGACATGTGTGTGTGAGCAAATGAGAGAGAAGTGAAAGTTTGGGAGGAGTGGTAGTGGGTCCCATATGTGATGTGTGTAATAAGGTAATTACTCTTTGCCCTTATTTAATAGTTAAATGTGTATATTTGACCAATGGATATACACTTATTTATAACATTGCCATCACATGTTTGACTACCATATTTAATATTTGACTTGATCATGATCATTGATGTGTTGAATCCAATGGTCTAGAATCATCCTTATTTCTTTCACTATAGATCATTATCCCTTCTATATATATATAGAGAGATCATGACAAAATTTCAAATGAGTTTTTCGTGCGAATACTGAATGTAAAAGGAGTAGAAAATGTTGATTTTGTAAAAATTATTTTTGGTAGGTGATCAATAGAGTATTGACAATCCAAATAAAGCAAACCATTAGTTTTGAAGATCTTTGTTACAAAAGAGGTAATTAATTTATTTTTTTAAGAAAATCCATAAATCTTCCATTGCTCTGCTCTTCAATATTGGAATTAAATTTACACCTGCAACTAATTTTATTAACTAGTACACAACAAGCTGCTACAAAAAATTAAAAAAGATGAAAAAACACAAGAAGCAGGCTTCTTTCCATCAAACCACACAAGACTACTCTTTAACCAATTTCCTCAATCAAATAGCAGATCAAAGTCCTGGACCTTCGCATTATTCAGAAGTTAATTAATTTTGTTTAGAAAGTATAGGAATTGGAAATTAAAAACCAGATTTATACATCCATCACCTGGTGGTTTCAAATGTGAATTACAATACTAGGTTTGTCTGCAAGCATGAAACATTGAGAGACCATTCACAAAATTAAACTTGAGAGTAACGTAGCAGTAATTAAATTTTTTCCTTGGTACATGAGAGAGTATACATATTACAGAAGGTAGCTGCTAGTGATGATATCAATGAAAGAATTAATTGTCATCATCAAAATCGAAATGGAAACTAAACCCATATTCAGCATCTTCAACACTAGCATTAGTCGACGAAAAGAGACGTTTGGCGTAATCGTCGACAAAGGAATGCAGCAACAGTGAGTCGGCAGTGGGCCTTCGATCCGGATCACTCGTGAAACAACACTTTACAAAATCCCTCGCATCCTCTGAAATCATCTCGCGCCCAATCCTCCCAAGAATTTCCTCTTTTGCCCCTCCCCACGCATTCTCCCGACCCACCAACATCTCCAGCACCACACAACCGAGCGCCCACACATCAGAAGCCTCCTCTTGCTTCCCCAGCAACTCGGCCTCAGGCGACAAATACGCGCGCGTGCCACTCGCATACGGTACCGTCCCCCTCTCTTTCGAAAGCCCGAAATCACTTATTTTGGCCGTGAAGTTGCCGTTTTCGGCCACGAGCAGCACGTTTTCGGGCTTCAAGTCGCAGTGCACAAAACCGAGGCCGTGAATGTGACGGAGACCTCTGAGGATGGACTTCGTGTGGGCCCTCACCTCCATTTCGGGCAGCCCGAAGCCTCCCGATTTCTGAATTCTGTCGAGCAGAGACCCACCGGATGCATACTCCAATAGCAGATTAGAAACCGAGCGGCCCTCGTAATCTTGTGTCGTGTGGTAGCCAAGGCACCTGATCACGTGCGGACAGTCGTAGAGACGCGCCAAAATCTGGAACTCTTTGCGGAGCGTTTGTGAAAGAGATGTCTTTTCGGTTTTGACGGCTATGAAGGATGACCTGAGAGTGGCCTTGTAAACGCGGCCGTAAGTCCCTTCTCCTAACAAAGGGCCCATAATCCAATCGCCGCACATCAACTGGTTGTGGTTGTTGTTGTTCAGATTGTAGGCACGGCCAGCACAAACCGCCATGATAGATAGATAGATGATGATCAGCTAGCTCACCCTGTATATTTCAATTTCAAGTGTATCAATTAATTAATCAATCTCCACTGATTTATATTTATAGAAAATGTCTGCTTTGCTCTAATATCCTAATCCTAAACGTGGAAGGTTTTCTTTTCTTTTCCTAACCCTCAAGGTTTAGTGAATAACTAAATATTTTTTCCAATTCAATCCGCTTTTTCTCTCGTCTCTGCCGCCAAAACACAAAATAGAATTAGGTCTTTTTATTTCCCCGTCCATTTAAAATTAAGGGTTTTTTTTTTTTCGTGCGAAACACTTATATTTGAACTCATTGTTGGCTTGTAGGTTAATTAACGGGTTATTTATATTGATATAAACAAGATTTTGTTATTATTTTACACCTATGTGACATAATTAATCTTTTTTAGTGTATAATGAGACACATTTGATACATATATGTCAATATTATTTCATAAAATATTTAAATTGATTATATTGTTAACGTAATTTAACTAAAATTACAAAAAAAAAATTGAATAAATTATATTATTTGCAATTTTAAATTCAATTTTGTACATTTTAAATTTTTAATGCGAATCCTTCTGCTCAAAGTCCCTGTTGAGGTCCCTGTTGACGCCGGCGTGAGGTTTTCTTCACCGTCACGCCGACGGGATTGACCTTCGGATTGGTGAGTCGACTCGTCGTGGCCGGAAGAAGTCATTTTCAGTGAGTTTTGAAGGAACGAGATGAAAAAAGAAGAGATTGTGAGTGGTGTCCCACAAAGTCGAAATATTGACACCAAATATCTTATGGTGCCCATCCTCTAGCGTCAAACTCGTCAAACTGTTGAGGGACGGATCTGATCAACAATTAAAATAAAGTTTTATGATAATGTAAAAGTAAGATAAGGAAGATATGCGATGAAAAGGGAATTTATTACTTAATTACGAGGTCGGGCTCTGATAAAGAGGTCGGCACCTTTGTGGCACTTTGGAGTTTTTGCGAGAATTTATTACAGAAGTCTAGAGAGAGAAAGTGGCAGTTGATGATTTCAACAACCCCAAATAAATGAGATGAGTCTTCTATTTATAGTGGCCTTAAATTCGGCACTTCATACACTATTCATCATGTCCCGTAGTACAGTGATTTTGCAGAGCAGGTCGGCGTCACTCTGACAGATATTAAATGCGATTCGAGGTTTCTCTAATCCTTACCTGTCATTAGAGCTGTCAATTTGGCTCGCGGCCCGCGGGCTGGCCCGCCCAGCCTCGCAAAAGGGGCGGGTTGGACCGAGATTTTTAATAGCAGATAGGTTAGCAAAAACCACACACACGCAATATACTTTCGCCCACACGCACTGCTCTCATCTCGCCTCTTCGTCTCCAGTCTGGATCTCTGATTGTTCGACCTCCGCCCACGCCTCTGCCTCCGGCCTCTTTCTTCGGCATCCGCCTTCGATAATCGACTCCCGCACGCACTGCCTCACTGCTCTCAGTCTCGCCTCTTCGTCTCCCCTCTGAATCTCCAGTTCTTCGACCTCCGCTCACGCATCCGTCCTCCGTCTCCGACGACCGCCTTCGAGAATCGACGCCCACACGCACAGCCTCTCGGCTCTCAATCTCGCCTCTTCGCCTCCCTCTGAATCTCTATTTTATGATTAATCTAACAACAATTTTTTTTTTCTTATATAAAGAATTGGGCCGTGGCCCAAGCCCACACAATATAGCAGGCTACAGCCTACAGCCTACCTTTAAAAAAAAATTAATAAAAAGGCAGGCCTGGCCCGCCTAACCCGCAGCCCGTGGCGGGACGGGTTGGGCCGGCTTTTCTCAGGCCCGCCACGATGGCCGCCCCGCCCCGCCGAAATGCGGGCTTTGGCGGGCTACGGGCCGGCCCGCCCCGCCAACCCGTTTTGACAGCTCTACTTGTCATACATTTAATGTTCTCATGTAGGGCATTTAATGCGGACAGGTCCTTCTGCCGAGCTAGGTGCCCTATTATGGAGACGCGTCACATCGGTAATCATTAGCTGACAAGTGGCAACATTTTATTAGTTCTGGGTCCCGCAGGTGTCCAGGAGCCGACTTCGGGAGATCCTCGTGTCGGACCTTCTTCACTATTTTGTCCTTTAAGTTCCGGGGTCCCATTTCTCTGTTCAGCACCCGGTTAGGTCGACCTCGCTTCTGTGCAGCAGAGGTGCCGACCTTAAAGCTCGGCACTTCTCAATCACTCGACCGGTCTGGGTTTCTATGTCATCCTTCCTCAGTTCCCCATCAGTGAACCGAGTTTCACGTAGGCCTAACTCGGATATCAACACTCGGTTATTTCAATTCGATATCGAATTTTTTAGTTAAATAATTGAAATAAATGAACGACCAAATTATATAAATTTTATTACTATTGAAATATTATTTGTAGTTTGAATAATTATAAATTTCACCTATAAAATAAATTTTAAATTATTAAAATAATTTAAAAATTACAATTAAGACCCTACGATTTATAACATTTTCAAAAGTGAGCCCATAAAAATCTGCTAAGAGTTTCCACGCACAACCGTGCTTTTGAAAATTTCCATGCACAGAAATGAACTGCAATTATGACCGCCGCCTTTTCCTCTCAGATCGACGAAAATTTCACCATTCTCCTCAATACCGGCGACGAGATCGAGCCGTCTTGACTCAACCTCTTCTCGGTCGATAATTGCAGTTCATGTCTCCTACGTGCCGACGACGTGGTGGCTCTCGCCGTGTAGGACACCGTCGCCCTCTACTGGCTGGTGGCAGCATTAGCTAGGGTGTCGTCTAGATTGTCGACTGCACAGCGCTCGATGGTGGACTGTGGCCTTGAAGTTCGTTCCGGCAATCGACTAGACGGCGTCGGCAGTGGACTGTGGTGGTGACACGACTGGTCTGGCCGTGTTGTGGTGGTGACGGGACAAGGCGGCGCGGTGGCCGTGACTGTCTGCAACTTCAAGCGAGTCCGACGGAGATGGGCGTATGCGTCGGTGGTCCGGCAAGGGTTGATGGCGAGCGGGAGATGCTGCGGCACTCGACGGCGGGCGGCAGAGGGCGACGGTAGTCAGCGGCGGGAGGCAGCAGGCGAGCGGTGCTACAGATGGGGTGGTCGCCTGCGCAAATCCGCGACATGTGTGTGTGAGCAGGTGAGAGAGAAGTGAAAGTTTGGTAGGAGTGGTAGTGCGTCCCACATGTGATGTGTGTAATTAGGTATTTACCCCTTTGCAACATTGTCAGCACATGTTTGACTACCATCAGGGGCGGATTCATGTATGGTCCAGCCTAGGCAATTGCCTAGCCTGAATTTTTTTGCTAATTACATAATTTATATAGTTAACATGTGTTAATTAAAAAATTATATTTAATTTAAAGATATAAATACAAATTTTTATTTTAATATTTTAAATAATTATTACAAACTAATATTATTTTTTATTTAAAATAATACACCTCAGCTGTCAGATTTGACGGTATTATATTACAATATTTTTGTTTCTTATATCATATAGTAAGCTTGTTAGATAAATTTATCATTTTTTAATTATAATTGGTAAGTATTTAAAATTAATTATTTTTATTTATATATACGATATGAATGTCAAATCTATACTTATATAATAAGATTTACCATTTATCAAAAATAGTAGGTCAACTCTTTGGTCAAATTCGGACATAATTAATTAGTTTCCTTTAATGGAAAATTATTTTTTTTTTTAATTTTCACAGAAAGCATTAATTAAATGAAGTCCAAATGAGTTTGTTACATTGTACAGGCGAAAAAAGCGGCGAGTTAATTTTTGGAAAAATTTTGAAATTTGCGTTCCATATATATTTTCCTTAAAAACTGGATTTTATTTAAAAATTTAGCAGATTTTTTTGTATTTCGAACTAGAAATCAGTTTGGAGAATTTCTGGTACAAGATCTCTACCTAATGTCATCGCTAATTTTTTGGTAAAATCTAACTTACACGGTTTGCATGTCAATCTTAATTTAATATTTTTCCTAAAAACACAATATTAAAAATCTTGAATTAATATTTTCCATTTCAGATAGCCCTTGAAAAGTAGATTTTGTTACGGTATTTGGTTGCTGTTATATTATCGTATCTTTAAGCAGAATTTTTCTTTGCATTTTGAAATAAAAATGAATTTATAAATCTTGATGGAATTTCTTTCATTTTAGCGGATAGACATAATAATTTAGCCCATCAATACATATTATCATAGCTTTTAAACCCGGCCCATGAATCGACTCAGGCAAGTTTCCGTGTCACCGGGTCACCGGTTCAACCATCAAGTGACCAGATCAATTGTTGAAGCGGATAATTAATTTTAAAATCTTTATAATTATATATAGAGTATTTTGTCATATAAATATATATAAATGTTACAAAATTAAATTTTTGTATATAAAATTTATACATTAAAGTGTTAATATTATGTATTTCATGATAAAAATGTGCCATATAAAAATAGTAGTTAAGAAACTACCGGGTTGAAAAACTATGCATATCTATATCTATATAATAAGAATAACCATTTACTAAAGATAGTAGTTAAAAATTTTGGAAGCATTTAATTCATATTTTTGTTTGAAAACTTTTTAAATATATGCATTAATTGCTTGCATATAAACATTTTCAATTAATATCAAATCAGATATGATAAAAAAAATTGTTTCCTTAAATAATTTGATTAATATTATTATAATAAATTAGAATATTGATTTTCTATGATTTATGTTGATAATATTTTGGTCAAGGTAAATATTACAACATATTATAAGTTCTAACCTTAATTTTAATTTATTTCACAAATACTCACTTTTTATCCAAAAATATATATATAAAATCATAACAGGTTAGGGTTAGGTAGATTTTTTTCCAATTAATCAAACGAAATCAAGTTGGTGAATTACTCTTTGCCAATATAATTTTTTCTTAAGCTTTATTTCGTTATATATATAAAATAAAACATTCTTCAAATTAATATAATTTACCATTTAAGAGATAATGACTAGATATATTAAATAGTATTACTAATAGTCAAATATTAAAATTGAAATATTTTAACTGTTCTTTAGAATTTATTTGTTTATTATTTGCAACCATGATTATTTTTTTTATTTTCTATTTCGTTTTCTTTCTATAATAAAATTGTAAAATATATTTTCATTGTAGGAATATGCTAAATAAACTATAAATTCTTATAATGAAAAGTAGAAAAATCTTGATTATAGAAGGGGTTGAGTTTTTGACATTTGCTAAATCAAAGTTGTTTAACTAATATACAAAATTAAGTTCTAGAAAACATGTGTGTGTATTTTGTAAAATATTTAAACACTATTTATTTAAAATGTATTTACATATATTAAATTAATTACATAAATAAATAATACTAATGTGCATTAAATTGATTACAACTTCTTTAACTTTTATGAATAATAATGACATTATATGACAACAAAGGTTATAATAAAATAATAATGACATTATATTCTCTTATATCGAAAAACAATTATATATACTAAAATCAAATTTATTAGTATAAGTGCCTTAGTGAGATAATATATTAATTATTTTACAAGTTAGCCCTAACATGCTCATATTTAATGTTCTGACTAAACAACAACGCTGATTAAATGAGGTAGAAAATAGATTATAACTGTATTGTTTTTTAGATTTAACGTTGATTAAAATAGGTGAAAAATAAATGATAACATTATTGCTTTTTAGTCTTAACGGACAAAGCCTGTAAAAATAACTCATTTATATCTCTTTCCCGTGCATCGCACGGGGTACGTACTAGTTATAGATTAGGAAAATATGATTAATTTAATTTATCATATATGAAATGTAATACCAAATATAAATGTTATTAACTTTTAAAATGTATTTGCAAATTAAGTTAGTCAAGTGTTAAAATTTGAATGTTTTAATAAAGATGGATAAAGCTCTATATTTATATGGACTACTTCGAATCCTTATAAATTAACATCTAAAATTACAAACCGCTGAAAAACTCTACATTTGAATGTAAGAAGATAATCTATAAGGACATCTTTATAAAACAACATAAACTAAAATGATGACATCTAGACTTTTTTTTAAATTAAAATTTCAAAATGACTCATTTATAAAATTACAAAAAATGACAAAAAATATACTTTAAAATATTTTTGCTATAATTTTTAATAATAATAAAAATACGAAATCAAATAGTCAGACCCCATTCTTCATTTCATTTCGAGCATCAAGTCAAATGTAAATTGAATAGAGAATTCCTTTCGATTGTTTCAACTATTTATGTAATTGTTAATATAACTATTTTATGCAATATTGTTGAAAGTTTTCTTTTAATTATTTTTTGCCCTGGCTCATAAAAAATTCTGGATCCGCCGCTGACTATCATATTTAATATTTGATTTAATCATGATCATTTCTGTATTGGATCCAATGGTCTAAAATCATTCTTATTTTTTTCACTATCTATCATGATCTCTTCTATAGATGACAAAATTTCAAAGGAGTTTTTCGTGCGAATACAAAATGTAAAGGAGTAGAAAATGTTCATTTTGTAAAAGTTATTTTTGGTAGGTGATCAATTAAGTATTGACAATCCAAATAAAGCAAACCATTAGTTTTGAAGATCTTTGTTATAAAAGAGGTAATTAATTTATTTGTTAAGAAAATCCATAAATCATTCATTGCTCTGCTCTTCAATATTGAAATTAAATCTACACCTGCAACTAATTTTATTAACTAGTACACAATAAGCTAGCTGCTACAAAAAATTAAAACAGATGAAAAAACACAAGAAGCGGGCTTATTTCCATCAAACCACACAAGACTACTCTTTAACCAATTTCCTCAATCAAATAGCAGATCGAAGTCCTGGGACCTTCGCATTATTCAGAAGTTAATTAATTTTGTTTAGAAAGTATAGGAATTGGAAATTAAAAACCAGATTTATACATCCATCACTTGGTGGTTTCAAATGTGAATTACTATACTTAAGTTTGTCTGCATGCATCAGACATTGAGAGACCATTCACAAAATTAAACTTGAGAGTAACGTAGCAGTAATTAATTTTTTTCCTTGATACATGAGAGAGTATACATATTACAGAAGGTAGCTGCTAGTGACGAATGAACTAATTGTCATCATCAAAATCAAAATGGAAACTAAACCCATATTCAGCATCTTCAACACTAGCATTAGCCGACGAAAACAGACGCTTGGCGTAATCGTCGACAAAGGAATGCGGCAACAGTGAGTCGGCAGTGGGCCTCTGATCCGGATCACTCGTGAAACAACACTTCACAAAATCCCTCGCATCCTCTGAAATCATCTCGCCCCCAATCCTCCCAAGAATTTCCTCTTTTTCCCCTCCCCACGCATTCTCCCGCCCCACCAACATCTCCAGCACCACACAACCGAGCGCCCACACATCAGAAGCCTCCTCTTGCCTCCCCAACAACTCCGCCTCAGGCGACAAATACGCGCGCGTGCCACTCGCATACGGTACCGTCCCCCTCTCTTTCGAAAGCCCAAAATCACTTATTTTGGCCGTGAAGTTGCCGTTTTCGGCGACCAGCAGCACGTTTTCGGGCTTCAAGTCGCAGTGCACAAAACCGAGGCCGTGAATGTGACGGAGACCTCTCAGGATGGACTTCGTGTGGGCCCTCACTTCCATTTCGGGCAGCCCGAAACCTCCCGATTTCTGAATTCTGTCGAGCAGAGAGCCGCCAGATGCATACTCCAATAGCAGATTAGAAACCAAACGGCCCTCGTAATCTTGTGTCGTGTGGTAGCCAAGGCATCGGATCACGTGCGGACAGTCGTAGAGACGCGCCAAAATCTGAAACTCTTTGCGGAGCGTTTGTGAAAGAGATGTCTTTTCGGTTTTGACGGCTATGAGGGATGACCTGAGAGTGGCCTTGTAAACGCGGCCGTAAGTCCCTTCTCCCAATAGAGGACCCATAATCCAATCGCCGCACATCAACTGGTTGTGGTTGTTATTGTTCAGGAGATTGTAGGCACCAGCACAAACCGCCATGATCGATAGATAGATGATCAGCTAGCTCACCCTGTATATTTCAATTTCAAGTGTATCAATTAATTAATCAATCTCCACTGATTTATATTTATAGAAAATGTCTGCTTTGCTCTAATACTCCTAATCCTAAACGTGGAAGGTTTTCTTTACTTTTCCTAACCCTCAAGGTTTAGTGAATAACTAAATATTTTTTCCAATTCAATCCGATTTTTCTCTCGTCATGCCGCCAAAACACAAAATAGAATTAGGTCTTTTTATTTCCCCTTCCATTTAAATCAAGCTTTTTTTTTTTTCGTGCGAAACACTTAATTGAACCTGATTGTTAGCTTGTAGGTTAACGGGTTTTTTATATTGATATAAACAAGATTTGTTATTATTTTACGCATATGTGACATAATTAATCTTTTTTAGTGTATAATGAGACACATTTGATACATATATGTCAATATTATTTTATAATTTTTTAAAATTTATTATATTGTTAATGTAATTTAACTAAAATTATAAAATTATTTTTGAATAAATTATATTATTTTCAATTTTAAATTTAATTTTGTGAATATTCCTTCTGCTCAAAGTAGGCTAGTGTGCTATGACTAGTACGTTTAACATCTCTACTCGTTGATTAATAATAGGTCGCTAAATTCTACAATTATATTTTTATTGTGCCAAAAATAAACTTTTTCTAAAACCAAAATAAGTGGAAGGAAAAACGAAATTATCAAAAGGTAAAAAGTGGTAGAATTTTTAAAATATAAAAATATCTATACAACTTTAGTACAATAAAAATATTTATTTCTTCTTATGGTAAATTTTATTACTTCAACAAAATGTGGTAGAATTGTCTCTTTCTTTTTTCTTTTCAGTTTATTATGAAAAGTATTTAATAATGTCAATATTACATTTTAAAAAAATTAATAAATCTATTATTTTATTATTATAATTTAACTAAAATTATATGATCACATTCAACATTAATTAAATTTTATGTTGATTTAAATTTAAATTTTCACATTTAAATTTGTCACTTCAAAAATATTTGTAAGAAAAAATTGGTTTTGTACCGATTTAACGGTTCCATTTTTCGTAAGTTAAAGACTTAGAAGTTTCTCGAAACCATTTTAAGGTAAGAAATTAATTATAATTGTAAGTGTTATATGTTGAATAATTGAGTTTAAGTAACTCAAATGTTGTAGAGTTCACAAACTTTATGTTTTGACAAATGTCTGGACGAACTAAACGAGCCATAATCATGCATTATGTATACTAGAATTGTGTAGAAGGGTTTGTTGGGAACAAGTAGGAAAAAATGGAACTAAATTCCGAGTCCGAACGAGCGCGTACGAGCTCCCGACGAGCAGCTCTGCGCAGGCCCTGTCGCGGGCGCGACAGCTTGCTATACGCTGCGGAAGGACGTGACAGGGCGTCGCGGGCGCAACGAGCTCGCGATACTGACGCACCTGTTCAGTCCAAAGAGGTTTCTACTCAATTTTGGACGACCGGGAGTCTATAAATTCTCATGAAGTGAAATGGTTTCAAATATTAAAATTTTCAAGTGCTCTTGCATTTTATTTTCAAAGTTCATAAAGCATATTGTGTTTTTTGATTTTTTTTGTTGAGTCTTGAGAGTTCCAAAAAATAGTATTGTTCGCCGAAGGCTTGTATACTTGAAGTACCGCTATATACAAGTCGAAAGTTGTTGTATCTTGGAGGTGTTTGCGGTTAACCGAGGGTATTTTATGGGGCAATTTCGTCTTAAGGAGAACGTAATTATTACGTTCCTCGACTTTGGTTTTTGTTTCGTTTTCTTTATTCTCCTTAAGCCGGCCTCAGCTTCTCCAGCCAGGCTGGCTGCCTTCTTGGCAGCCTCAAGGACCGGTTCCGACTACATATGTTCTTTGGAAAGAGTGGACTCACCGTGTCAATCGTTGGGATTGGGCATTTTGACCAAGGTTGCACCATCCGACCCGCTGGTATAGCCCACTGCCTCAGCTTGAGCTCGAGTCCTCTCGGTTCCAAACATTAATTAAGTATTATTTGGCCGCAGAGAAGATCCAGTTTAAGAACTCGTTGGAGTCTTTAAGGCACCTCTTTAGCTCGAGCTGATAGTGCTCTCGGAAGAGAGCTCTCGGGAGAGATGATAAGAAGGAGGCTCATCCCTCCTCACGAGCTTTCTCAATCTGGTGAATGAAGCATCCTGACTGCCCGAGGGTAATGGTAATGACCTCTATCTCCTATACCCTTTTCTTCTTTTAGGATCCCACCTTTCTATTCTCGCGCATGTCGTTCTAAGTTGACATGATCGTCTTTTTAAGAACCTTAGGGGGTGGCTCTTTCTGGCCAAGGGGCTCGAGTTCAACACCTTAAAGGAGCTCATTGCTCGGCAGTGGCCTTGACCTCTCTCGAGCTAGAGGTAGGCTCGGCACCCAACGAGCTCAAGAAAGAATCTCTAGNTAGATTGACGTCGTGTGAAAAAAATAAAATTAGCAAAGAAGCAATAAATGAAGAATACCTAGGTCAATGATTGGACATGCCTTGCAAGAAGATAACCCAGAGTAAAGAAGAAGCTCGGGGGTTGTCGGTGAGTTTTACGGTATTGAAAGGAATCGATTCCATTCCCGGATGAACACGTCATAGTGTTTGGAATGTTTAGGCTTTTTAAGCTGGCCAGAGAGCCCGTCAAGCCACTCAATAAAAAATTGAAAAGTGTTTAGAGAAGGTCGGTTGAAAAATATTTTTCTTTTCAATCCGAAACATTGGAAAAAAGGTTGCAAGGAAAGTTGGTTTTGTTATGGGTGGCTAGGTAGTAAGAACTTTTTTTGGGGTTTAAGCCAATAATAGTATAAAAGAAAAAAAAAAGTTGGGCTCCACTTTGTAAGGAGACATTGATCTATTGAGGATTGTGAACCCGATCATGACACAAATCGATTTCGGGTAAAATAATTTAAAGAATTCTAATAGGGTTGGCTAAGTGTGACAAGGCCGTCACGAATGGGGACTTTGAGCAATCGAAGGGTTCACCGACCTTGGGGGCCCGAAAGTCCCAAGATCGGGGGAGATCGCACTCATGAACAAGGGATGTGTTGTGGTAATTGGAATAAGCGGTCAAAAAATTGGGCTTGACAAGTTTCACCACTTCGGGTACAACATTGGATTTTTTGCCCTTGACCATGGTGATTTGGTCTTTCTATTTGTGGGAAAGAGGAATGTCTAAAGAAGAGGTTGTTGCATAGGTATCAACTATGGAGTCAAGCCGAGGGAGGGAGGCATTCTTAGAGAGTTCGTCTAAGGGTTGAGAAGAGGAGGTCGAAGAAATGGCCTGCTGGAATTTGACATAATGGCCGAAATTTAAACAAAAATAAAGATAGAAAGGGGGCGGCGATTGTATGAAGCCTAGAAAATCTAAAAAGAGAAGACGAAGAAGAATAACATAAGCAAATACAAAGCAAAGAACATACCCATAAGTCGTAGGAAAAGATAAAGAGAAGAGTTGCCGGAAGTTGGGTAAAAGTTTGCCGGAAGATTGTTGTATTCGTCGGAGTATTTTTTGCAGAAGTGAGCTTTGAAAGTGAAGAAGGTAAAAAGTGAATATGATAGAGTTGTGCGGTTTTTATAGCACAAAAGGGGGATGACAATAGTCGAGGTTGTGGCCGAGTGGTAAGGCGGCGGGCTTTGGTCCCGTACGTCGCAAGTGAGTTGCTGGAAAGTGCGCCATCTCACTGGTGTGGATTGATTAGGGGGAGGGGGGACGAATGTGAAAGACGTTAAAAGGTCGGTGCCTGGTGAGCATCAATCTACCCGAAGATCAACGATCTGGAGTGAGAAGTTCATCTTAGGGTTTAAAGCTTTTCTGACTGACGCAATTCCCTAAGTCGGTTAATAAATGGCATTTATGGCTGAAAGGAAAGGTTAGGTGCGACGGAAATATGCTATTCTTGCATAAGTCCTGGTAGCTCATTCAAGAATGAGGGGGCAAGATGATCTAACACCCAGAATAGATTGGTGAACCGGTTTGAGTGGTTAGCTCGAGTATTGTCGGTTCAAAAGTGCTTTAGCTCGGTACCAGTTTTCAACCGTGCCAAGAAGCTCGCTTAGGCAGCTCAAGGTACGGGTCGGCCTGGTTAAAAGACTTTGGGTTGAAGTCCTCTAGGAGCCAGCTCGGACAGAAGAGGGGATGTCATGACCTTGAGGTCATACAGTAAAGGTCGAAATTTCGACCTAGTATGGATCCCCGACAAGAGGGTTGCGAGGTCGTTGGGATGATCTAAGGACTGAAAAGTCATGTGATAAGAGGGGATAGAATCCTACTAGGGATGACAAGTGTATCTCGCTAAGGAATATAAGATTTTAGAGACGTGCTAAGCTAGGAAAGTAGATACGATTGAATACCTTTCCTAGTGAGGACTCTACTTGGACAAGAAGAAACTTCGGGTATATAAGAAGTTACCATGTTTCACTTTAACATAACACATTATTATGTTTCGCATACAGTTTTTTTATATTCTCATGAGCAAGTACTGACTTGGGCGTAAGAGGTTTTTCCATCGGGATCCGTCACCAATATATTGCAAGTCACCGGAGCTCGAGAAGAAGAACTGTTCATGATGGCACTGATTTAATCCGATTTGAAAGTAATTTCAGCCTAAATGCCGACTAGCCCAACTTTTAGTACCTTGCAAATTAGTATTTGTTGAGTTCGCTTTTTGAATTTATTAGTCAATATATATTTGATATTTTGTGATGTATCAGTCAAAGTACGTGAATTTCCCCTTGAATTTGCAGTCACTACACAAGAAAAGACCCAAAGTCTCCAGCATATCTTATCCAATTTGTATGGTTGAATTCACATTAAATGATGCTATTAGATTAGCACTAGTGCAAAATCCGTGCGATGCACGGTTTGCACAATTTTAAGGCTATTTATCCAGGCTTATAATTATATACATGAAAAAAAAAATGTAAGGGATATATATAGTACGTGACCCGTGCGGACACGAGAT